TTAAAAGATGCTTGATGTCTAGACGTGAATAGTCTGTCCACAGTCATTTTTCGTTTTGTATTTCGGGACCATTTGACAGCGTACGAGTGAACCGGAGCGCAGTAACGATCCCTAACCCCACCCCATTGCCCTTGCGGTCAATAAATCATCGCGTTTTTCATTTTTTTTATGCGCGTTCGAGAACCTCCAAGGGAATATTGAGGGTCTTTGTACAGTTTCAGTTTATTTTACCGTTAAAAAAGAACATAACAAAGCAAAAGACAAGTACACAGAAACACGCAGAAGCAATGTGGTGAGGAAGCCCAAAAAGAAACCATAAGGCTTAGGTTATCCCCTTTTCGTTCGTTTAGCGTCGAATAGGTTTCCTGGTTTTGGGTGGGTCGGTCGGTGGGGTGAAAAAAAAAATCATAAGAAATCTGAGAACGGGAGGCCTGAAACACCAGCATCATTGCCGTGGAGACTGAAAACAACAAGACATGGTCACCAAATCGACACAAACTCAATATGGCGGAAAATTTGATGGTCAATTTCATAAAAAAAGGCCCAGAAAGGGTATAGAGCAAAGAGGATACACCACCGAACGTTTTATGCCTCGAAATGATGTTATAATGCTAATTTTTTAGATTAAAAGGATTAATCTAAGTCCAAAAAAAAATAAAACTTGTCGTTTAATTCTTTTTCTTGCTTTTTTAAAAAATGCCAAAAAACTGGTTCTTTTGGACGACACTAAACGAAGAAAAACTAAATATAGGTATTAAGCTCCCTTAAAGTATAAAAGTATAAGTTTACAAGGACGGGATCGAACGTATACTGAGTAACTAAATGATAAAAATTTGATCAAAATTAAATGAAAGGCTAAGAGCCTAAGCGCTGTCTGATAACGAAACGGTAAACAAGAAGTGCTGCCTCTCATTTAAAGGAGACGTGAAATACTGGGTGGACCACATCCTGAACTCCCGCGAAAACCGCAAGAGAGGAACGCTCAGGGCTAAGGAGACTAAACAGGTGCGTAGCTACTTGTACGCACGGTTTGCACGTGCGTACCCGAAAACGTTGAGGAAAAAAAATAGAATGAAGTAAACATAACTAAAAAAAATCGGTTTCCAGAGAAGCGTCGACATTAATTGAAGAACCGAATCTTGCATGATTTATTTATATAGCAAGCTTGATGATGTAAAGCGTGAACGCGTTGCTTTCTCCACGACCTGTCTTCGGAGTAGACGAAGTAGGGCACAATTACGTCAATGTGTGGTGCTTTTGTCGGTCAAAAATAATGTGACAAAAAGGGGTAAAAAGAGTCATTTGTAAACTAAAGTCGGAGGTACTACAAGCTTGATTTTTAATAGCTGAATTAATGATAAACGGTTGACGTCAATGAACTTAACAAGCCGACAGAATTAAAGAACTTTAGAGGTTGTGTCATTTCATAAACAGCAAAAATGCTTTTGCTTACAACCGTTAACCCCACATTTAACAAAGGCACCTTAAAAAATGTTGAGATTTGGGGTGGGGGAGAGGGGGGAAGAAGATGTAGAAAAAGTTGGGCGTACCTCCGAAAAATCCTGACTACGCACCTGCTAAAGACCGAAACTGAACAACAGGAGTCTTGACGAAACCTCCTCAGTTATCACCTGTCCGGGGTCGTACTTTCAAGGAAACGCTGATCAAGTCAAGTCAAGTCAAGTCAATCTTTATTTAAACACGGTAAAATCCATCAGGAATTTAAAAAATTAAAAATAACCTAACTATCCTAAACAAAATTCAAAACCTGACTACAACTAATCTAACTAAAACCTGTTTTTCATGAATGCCGTGTATAACATTAAAAATGAACATTAACTAATCTTTTAAATTGACTAAGAGATTCGGCTTCTCTCACATGACAGGGTAGGCTGTTCCAGAGAACTGCTCCGCTATAAGTAAAGCTGTTTTTCATGAAATTAGTTCGCGGAAATGGGACAAATAGTTTGTTAACAGAGTCCCTCAGGGAGTAACGCGTTTCATTTCGTTTAACAAACTTAGATGATAAATATTCAGGAACAAGGCCATTTAAAGACTTGTATACCATTATGGATTTCTGTATTTGAAATTGAGTGCTCAAGTCTTTCCAATCGAGTTGTCTAATCAAACGGTTAGCATCAGCATCATAGCTAGAGAAGGTTAAAACGCGAGCGGCACGGTTCTGAAGCTTCTGTAGCCTGTCAAATAATGTTTTACCACAATTACCCCAGACAAGATTGCAATAATCGAAATGAGATTGAATTAGTGAGTTGTATATATAGTGAAGGGTAGGTGGAGGGACAAAAGGTCTAATTCTTTTTATTGCTCCAATTCCGGAAGCGACCTTTTAGATAATTTATCAATGTGTGTTTGCCACCGTAGATTTTCATCAATAAATATTCCAAGCGATTTGACAGAGGAAACGTGTTCTATCGGAACATTATTAATCGAGAGCTCAAGTGGGTTCGACAAAGTACTCAATTTTTGTCTGGAGCCAATTAGCATGAATTCAGTTTTAGAAGTGTTCGAAGTAAGTTTATTGAAATAAGCCATTTGTTTAGGTTATCTAAATCGTGACTCAGAGTTAACTGTATTGAATTCACATCAACGCCAGCATAAGTAATGTGGGTGTCATCGGCATACATTCTAGGCTGGCACGAAGTAAGGCAGTTTGGCAAGTCATTAATATAAATAAGAAATAAAAGGGGGCCAAGGATTGTTCCTTGCGGTACCCCACATTTAAGAGAGCAGATTCTAGAAAGAGAACCGTTAACAAGACATCGTTGTGTACGATTAGTTAAATACGACCTAAACCAATCAAGAGCTGTACCTTGTATTCCGTAAAGGTTCATTTTAGCTAGAAGGATATCGTGGTCAACGGTGTCGAAAGCCTTTTTTAAATCGAGGAAAACCACAGCATTAACATTGCCACGATCAATATTAAAGGCCCAATTATCCGTAGCTTCCAGAAGGGCAGTTGCAGTTGAGTGTAACGAGCGAAAACCCGATTGATGATTAGAAATGATATCTTCATTGGTCAAAAAGTTATACAACTGATCATAAACAATCCTTTCAAACACTTTAGCTATAACCTATAATCAAGAACCATTCACGACGGAATAGAAACTCCTCGTAGCTTCCAGCGAAAAAAGGAGTGACAGCAGTGGTAAGCGGTCGTTCTGTGAAATGTAACGCAATCTTTGCCGTTTACGATCTTTCGGCGCTTGGATTTGAACTGTTGTTGTTTAGTATATTCTCCCGTGTGGATACTTGACATTTCCAATATATGGAAACACCATGCTAAGGTACAAACAACAGACATTCACAACATTGTTTTGTACGTTAAAATCTGATTTCATGGACGTAAAACGTTTTGAATTTTAAGACTTTTTAATATTAGTGCTTTGCCCTCCCTTTGACAACTTCACGTGACTGGTGCACTTGGCAGGAGTTGATAGCTTAAATCTGCCTTTCTTGATAGCAAACGGCATTAATTTATATCAGATCGCTGTATAAACACGTCTTGGTTTCTGAAAGCTGATAACATGAAAACACAACAACAACAACAACAACAAGTTTATTCAGTATTACCATTTTGTACAGGTGTTACCGATTAAAATACTAAAACACTATTGCTCAAACTGATTTCTTACTGTATTTTTCCAAGTTTTTAGCATCGGCCCGCCGCGTCTGGAAAGCTCAAATTTCAGAAAAGTACTACTTGTATTTTTTGGCCTCAAACGTTTTCTTTTAAGTTGCCCGTAGTTTTGAAAACAGATTTTGAAAGAAGAGATAACGCTCTTTAACGTGGTATAAGACTCATTACTGAAATCGAGGTACCAGTCGACGATTTTGGGCTTTGAAATTTGCCATTTTTTTATTGAACGAAAACGTTCAAAATATTGAAAATAATGAAAAATCTCCAAAATATTACACTTTCGTTCAAACTGAGTAAATCACCACTTAGAATGTGTGCAATTAAGTACTCTTCGGAATAAGTTATTTGTTGTCCACATTACAGTGGATTTGAATTTTAAAACGATTTTTTTGTGACACATGGTCTCGGGCCTGGAAAACCCGGTCCGAGAGCCGCGAAACCAATAACCCCCCCCCCCTCCCCCGCCCCGTACGTGGAAAATAATTATCGGATCGAAGTAAAAATTACATTTATGTTAATAGCTTACCTAGTGCTACTTTGTGAATTTTTTTGAGAATTTTCGATTTTTTACTTTTGTAGACCTCTGGTCGATATTTACTGACATCCGCTCTTAACTTCTTGTTTTTTCACTAAGGGGCTTTTACGCTTCCTTTTCACTATGGAATTTAATTGCTTACTATAAAAATTACAAGTTAACGTAAAAATTAAAACTCTTCTCCAACAAATATACTTCCCAAGTATTATATCAAACGTTACAAACAGTAAAAATAAACCTATAAATTGAAAAAGTGTTGGGCTAGATTAGCTACAGTTCTAACTGTTGGAATATTCTATTAAAGCGTTCGCAAGATGATTTTCGGATGCCTGTCATTTTTGCCTACTTCCCTTTTCTTCTTCACTACTTCTAGCCATCGGTCAAGTAGTTGTCTCGCAAAAGAAAGCTTTAACACAACTCGAAATGACGAAAAACAATCACATCACATTAATAATATTTCCTTTCAGTGAAGGTTCATTGAAGTGTTCAGTTCAAATACGTAATTTGGACGAAATTGTAGCCGATGTACTAGCTTGTACTGTTCATCTGCATTTCTTTTCAATCCATATACTAAAGTTTGATGCTCAGATTTCAGTCATAGATTTCAATAACAACAAAGGCTACACGAACAGATCGGGGGTGATCTACCTGCGTTCATATTAAGAGAACGTGACTGGAATTACTGTTAACGATACAGTTTATTTATTTATTTGGTTATATATTTGTCTGTTTATCTCATTAGCTGCTCGTGTTTATCACGGTCACCACGCTGGAAAAGCAGTACGTGCGATAAATGACGCTGTTGCCATGGCAAAAGCCGTTGAGAAGGCCGTCAGCATGATCAGTAAGGGTAGGTTGACATGATGCCTTCAAGGTCATATTCAATGTTGGTTTTGTCGTTTTGCTTCTACGGCTGCTTTATGAAAACGTGAGCATTCACGAATGTGAACAAACTTTCCATTTTTTAATTGATCGGTTATTGTCAAGGTTGTTATGGAAACATGAATTGCTTTCACTTCAAGACTCTTTTAAAGCTACTTTTACTTTGTTTCGTTTTAGGTAGTTTATTTATCAATACAGATCATATTGAGCTATTTTTGCCTTATGTTTTGATTGTTGTTTATCTGCTTGCTCGCTAGTCTCTAAAGAAGTATAGTTTACTCCTTTTTTGCGCAGGGTTCTCATTAAGTTGCGCATGAATACATCAAGCTCACCCGCCTCAAAATAGTACATGGCGGGTTAAACAGCTTAAACCACCTAAAATAGCACAAGACTTTACCTTAATGAGGTTCCAACGCATTTTGCTTATGAGATAAAGACCTACGGCTATAATCATCAGCGTTTATTTATCCCTGAAGAAGTTAATGAGATTCCTGCGCAAAAAAACAACAACTGGTGTCTACTACTCCCTAACCAAATAACGTCTACGTGTTAGTTGTTGGCGAGTTTTAAAACTAGATCATTTTCCCTCACGCAGATGACACGCTCATCATTGCAACCGCTGACCACTCACACGTGTTCACTGTTGGTGGCTACCCAAAACGAGGAAATCCGATCTTTGGTCTTGTAACGGACATTTACGATAACAAACCGCACCTTGGCAGTGATGAAAAACCATACACCACTCTAGGATATGGTAACGGACTTGGAGGGGTTAATGGTAGCAGAGAAAATCTCACAGGGGTTGATACAGCTAACAAAGACTTCCTTCAACAAGCGACGGTAATGAGGTACAAGGAAACTCATGGAATTGAAGACGTAGGTAAGTGTTTAAGTGGTCTTAAATTTCCAGGAAACTGAGCAAAAAAAAATTGATCAAATAAGGTTTCATATATTAGTTTGACAGGGGCAAATTCGAAAAACATCATTGCTATCCTGACTTAGATTTATGAATTTCCTTGCAATGGTTTACCGTTTCAAGTAAATATAAGTATGTAAACGAGAGCTCTGCCCTTAGACTTAGCTAAATCATGTTCTTAGTCTAAACAGTGCTGACAATCATGATAAAGAGGACATTAAGACGTTACCTTAACTTCTGATGGAAACGTCTGTACACGAATACTTTATTTAGAACGTGGCTCGGTGGACCTGGAATGAATCTGAATCTTCTGCAGTGTATTCACTAGTTTTTAGGCATGTTATTCGCTTTACTTGACAGCCGTGTATTTTGTCCTTATACCTGAAAATCATTTCCCCAAATAGGGCTGTATCTTTTAAAACGTCCTCGTTTATACAAGCTGTTTGTTTGTTTCCCGCGTTCAGCCAGTACCGTTTTTAGGCAAAGAGTCGCTAAGAATTATTTATTGCCGTTCGATTCTTGATCTTGAATTTAAGTTACTCGTCAGGCAACCATGTATTGTTTCGTTAAGTGTTGTATTCCCCATCGCCGCTCCCCTCCTCCCCCCCTCCTCCCCCTTCCCCCATGTAAGGGAATCCGGAATCCAGAATAAAAGGTATCCGGAATCCTACTAACAATTAAAATCCAACGCAGACTGGAATCAAGTGCCTGGAATCCGGAATCCACGTCCTGGAATCCAGAGTCCAAGACTGACTTGGATTCCCTTACATGAGGCGCAATTGTTGATAAACAATACGTGTTCATGACCTTTAAACCTTGAAGAAAAATAGCGGGCATAATGCAAAATTATAATTCTTTCTTGGCAGTTTTCTTCTTTTCATCTGGTCATTACCTAATTTTCCGTTGCACTACTTCAGGTATATACGCGGACGGCCCTGGAGCCTACTTATTTCATGGTGTTGTGGAACAGCAGTACATCTTCCACGTGATGGATCACGCCTTGTGTTTCAGTGACAGCAAACAAGAGACATGTGATAAGCACGTGACAAGGGGAGGTCCAGTCAAAAGTGATTCTAGTAAAACTCAAGTCCTTAAGACAAAATGTCTGATTTTGACATTTGCATTAGTGTCAATGTATTTCTAAAGAAATTGCCACCTGCTTGCCTGGGTTTTAACCCTTCAGTTGTTTCTTTTTTATTTGTCACTACGGAAAGGCCACTACACAAAAATCAAAGTATCTTTCGTTACATTACTTCGCCTAGGTTTATATTACAAATTAGCACATCTGATCATAATAGCATAGAAAGCGACCAATTATATAGCTGTGGTAAAGCCAAGGCAAGTTTGTAATACGTATTTACGTGTACGTTCTGTCTTTTCTGAATATGCATAGCGTATGGCAACAACAATTGCATGTATTTTTGCTCATACAATAATCCCCTTCCACATGCTGTTGTTTTCTTAATGAGGTCCATTTCATAGGCGTTTCTTAGCCTTTTCGCAGTTCCATGAAAAGGAGAATATATAAGGAACCTATAGATATAAGCGCTAGCAGGCCCTTGTAGGCCCTCAAAACAGCAGACGTAAATATACCCTTTTCGATGTACACCACAAATAACGAAGGTCATCATTCTGTAGTTTTTGGTTAATAATTTTAGCATTAACTAGAAAAACTTAACACTGCATTAAGATGAATAGAATTCTAAATCACAAACCGTTTGCCTGAAAAAGATACTGAATCAGATGTTCTTCCTCTAACCTAAGATGAAACATGTTTCGATTACCGTTGAACAAACCGTAGTCCAGGCTACCATTCTGCAGCAAAACAGCAGCAAAAACTATCAATAAACTTGTAATCTTGTCACTATTAAGGGTTGAGATGCATGGCACAATTTTCAGATCCTGGACTCATCTTGTGCTTCGCTTATCACTCTAATCAAATCAGGATCTTCCTCTTTTCCATTACTGTTTTCTGCAGAAAAACAGCAATGAATTTTAGTATGTGATCTCTCTTTGAATAATTAAGATCTACATGCAAACTCTCTCCACTCATGTCTTGAGAACTGCGGCTTGCTCGGCTAAAGTGCAAGAGAGAGCCGTTTTTACGGCTGCATTGACATTTTCTTCCTCATTGATAAGAGTAAAAATTTTTTGTTCCACTCCTCAACGATCGAGGTAACGCCACACTTTCTTTTGAAACTTATACCCACATTCTCCAGGCACTTTTTACGCATGTTTTAGAGAAACTTTTTTAAAAGGTAGTTGTCATAAAGGTCTAAACTCACTCTCTTGTTTCTGTTTTGTGTGTTTAATACTCACTGCAGCCATGGAGAAAACGATACACGTAAGAATGCATTGATTAATAAAAAATGAAATTATTCAACTGTTTTTTTTAATAATTATTTTTCGTCTTATTTTTTCTCTTTGTCTCTCTTTATATTTATTTATTTATTTTTTTCTTCCTTATGCTCTCCTCCTTACCAGAAAATACAAACTTGTTGATGGGTCTGTCTTTCTCGGCAATTAATGTCGTGGGATTAGAGGCGGGTTTTGCTCCTGCTTTCTGGTCCGTCTGTTTCCTTCTACGGGCTTTACGTGCTCGCAGAGCCTCTCTAACCTGGTGCAGAAATAGTTGAGTGATAAACAAGTATATTTACAGTACAACCTCGATTTAACTAAGGGCCAGGAGACTAACAAAATTTCTTCGCTATTTGCCGAGGTTTCCTTATATCGAGGTTCTTTTTCATACATTTCACTATTACTGGGGTGAAGAAAAATATGCGCGTTATGCCGAGGACTTCATTATATGGAGGTTCGTTATAAATAAATTACTGTTTATTAAAGAAACTCATTGCAGCAATACATGGTACATATAAGGGTGAATTACAGAGCTACTTACAATAGTATAATAAAATGTACTTTAGATAATAATTCGCAAGCTAATTAAAAAATTACTAACTAACTTAACTACTAATGCTTAAAAGTAATAAAATCTTGAGTGCGCTTGGTCTTACAAATTGGGTGCAAGCAATAGCTACAATCAGAGACAAAAGTAGTTGACACACTTGTTTAAAACGGGTGCTTTCAACAAACATTTAATTCATTTATTATTTCATTCTTTTTAAACGCCGTAAATCCCCTCACCCCCCGAATCAACTTGTTTAAAACGGGTGCTTTTAACAAACATCTGATTCATTTATTGATTCATTCTTTTTAAACGCCGTAAATCCCTTCACCCCCCGAATCAATGTTGTCTGAAGGGAAAAAAAGACTTGAGGGTCCAAAATTCAACATTGATTTTGGGGGGAAGGGGTTGGGGTAGACAGGGGAAGGGGATAAGTATTTATTATATATGTACTGAGATTTACCCACTGAAAAGGCGCGAAATAAATTTGGTTCACAAGCTGGTCTAAGAACCCGACAGCCAATCAAATGGCGTGTATTGCTTTTTCCACGTGTGAGGAAAACGATACGTCCAATCAGGTGCTGCGTATCATGTTTTTTAACGTGTGAGCCGTAAAAAGGTGATTTTCATTCAGCTGGCAGCATTTCACTTTGTTAAAGAAATCTTTCGCAAGTGTTGAAACTTTAAAACATGAACGAGAAAAGGTTTGTTGATCACGATACTTCAGTAGAGGATTACGTGGAAAGTCTCGAAAACAGGAATACGAAAGAGAAAACGAAACGAGATGTGAAATTGCTGGAAACGTTTTTGAGAAACGAAAAGAACGACGAGCGAGAAGTGCAAGACATAGAGCCCGCGGAATTAAACAAGCACCTTGCAGAATTTATTCTTTCTGTGAGACGTAAAGACGGAGAGGAGGAGCCTTGAAGTTTAAGATGCCTTGTTTCAAGTATTGAAAGACATTTGAAAAAAAAATAATTATACTAAGAGTATCATTAACGATAAAGAATTTGAATTGTTTAGAAAGTGTTTACCGGCCAAACAAAAAGAGCTGAGGAAAGCAGTCCGAGGCAACAAGGACAAAGCTGCTGTGGCTATCACGGACGAGGAAGTCGATATACTTTACGAAAACAATTTACTTGGAGTTTCCTCTGCTGAATCATTGTTGAATACTGTTTGGCTGAACAACACCATTCATTTTGGAATGCGTGGTTGTCAAGAGCATAGGGATTTGTGCTGGGGAGATGTAAAGCTTTGTAAGGACGCACAAGGTAACGAATATCTAGTTTACAATGAAAGACAGACAAAAAAAAGGTCTGGAGTAGACGCATCAAACTTTCGAAAAGTTTCCCCGAAAATGTTTTCAACTGGTGATGAACGAGATCCTGTCGTGGCGTACAAAATTTACCGTGAAAAGCGACCGGAAAACATGATGGCTCACGATTCGCCATTCTACTTGGGAATAAACCACACGAAAACAGACGGCTCCAAAAAACACTGGTTTAAGTCGGCACCTATGGGTGTAAATAAATTAAACACTTTGATGAAAACAATGGCTTCAAAAGCAAACATCAACAACGAGCGACTCACGAACCATAGTGCTCGTAAACACATGATTCAAAAACTTAATGACAGTGAAATTCCGCCAACGCATATAATGCAGTTAAGTCGGCACAAGAACGTGCAAAGCATAACAAACTATAGTAGCTTGAACCTAAATCAACAAAAAGACATATCGGGCATCTTAAGCCGAGCATCGTCGCAAACAAAAGTAACTACTGCAACTAACGAAACTGCTGCTGCGAGCACTTGCACTAGTAAAACCCCGATGAGTTTTTTTGATGGAGCAGTAATAAGTGGAGGACAATTTACGATTCCCGTTAATGCGCTTACTACCTCGCCGACCATTCAAACCAGGACTTCCGTCACCGAAACCACCGAAAAAAGGTGGAAGAGAATCCGAATTGAGGAGTCCGACTCGGATTAAAGTTTAGAAATAATATTTTAACATTATTTGCTTGCTGTAATGTTAAATTTCTGGCAGAAATTCAAGCTTATGTTATAATCCTTGCATGAGTTTTTAACTTGAATTCATGTAACAGAGTTTTGTCTTGGTCTGTCATTAAAGACGATAAACAAGAATTTAAATCTCAGTATATATATAATAAATACAATACCACATGGAAAGTGCTTTGTACGGTATTTACGCACTCGTTGTTTTTGTATCAGAAATCTCACTCGTTCGCTGCGCTCACTCGTATGATTTCTGATACGTCAACAACTCCTGCGTAAATACCGTACGCCGCACTTTCCATGAAGTATTCTCTATATCCACTATGCCAAAAGGGGCCATTTTATGGATGTGTGTCAACACTTTTGTCCCTCATTGTAGCTTCTGACCTCAGATGATAATTATGCTGAACTTCCTCCAGTTTAGGAAGAATAAAGTGTAACGGGTCGTTTTTGTTCTGCAATCTAGCAATGTAGACCTGACATAGGTGGCCGTCTCTCAATTAACGTCGTGAGAGAAAGTGCAGATAAAGCCTCATTGTAATCGTGCGTAGGAAATATGGATACGCATAGCCCTTTCTGGGATGCTCTCGATCTTAGAAGCCAGAAATTCAGCTATGTTTTGCCATACGGGGACAGCCCAGTATTCTAAAGTTGGGCGAACAATAGTTACAAATACCTTAGTTAGAGAAACTGGTGGAGCACCACACTGCTTGAGAACTCTGAGAGAGTAAAGCCTCTTATTTGCCTTTCTGATTTTATAGTCTACATACATGTTATATCGTAGTTCCACTGTTGTGGGTCATACAATTTCAACTGTCATTAGCTGATTGTCGCTCACCTGCTGTATAGGAAAACTAGCAAAAGGCTGAGAATTTACCATGCCCCTTGCTCTATCTCCTCTTACCTGGTCATCCAAAACACAATGAAAGATGCAAAAAACAAGTCCCTATGAACAAGACCAAATACTGAGTCAGCAAGGATGGCAAGAAGACTTTTGTTTTAAAATTCTCAACAAAAATTCTCAGCCTCTCTAGTTTTTGGGAAAGAAGCTTTCTTCATAACTTTATCACTTGAGCATTAGTCTGAGTCATATCGGTTAGCAGAAGTCATGATATTTCTATTTCTCTAGAAAAGGACTGCAATTATAAATTAATGAGCAGCTGAACGTGGTCTACTCTAGGCTAAGTGTGTTAGGCTCCTAACGGGACAAATACATCAATAATTCAGAGGTATTCATCGAGCCGTACCGGTACTTACCATTAAAGAGTTCACCAAAATATAGGCATACTTCACGGAATCGTGGAAGTCAACAAAGAATCCCAGCAACCACGTGACCCCAAGAAGGGGAAGCAAGGCAACAGTACTCCTTATGCCTCTCCTGTAAAAGAGACATTTACGATTTTTCAAAAGCATGTTACTATAACTTGCGTAATTTATCAAGTGGCCTCTTAAAAGCTGTTTTCTGTAGTTATAAATACGTACAGGAATAGTTGAAGTAATTTAGTATTGAGCCTTCTCATTATTGTAAAAGAGAACTTACCTTGCAGCGTCTATTTTATTTTTCCCATATTTGCTGGATATTTTACCAAATACAACTCTCAAAATGATCACGAACAGTATCAAGTTTATCTGAAATATAAAAAAATAATGTCGTCGAAAGCACTGGAAAGGAGCTAAAATGAAATCCCGAAGGGAGGCCACTAGCATTTAAATAGCGCTGAGTAAGCCTGAATTAGAATTGTTGTGAGTCAAAAGGTAAATTTTGGTTCAATGAGCAATCACTTTTCAAATGACACACTTCTCGATTTGCCTTGCACCCTCATCCGCGTTATTTGCGTGATGTAAAAAATTTAAACTCTGAGTTCCATCGTCTTTTTCTACAGATTGAAGTTGCTGTCAGGCCTCGAGCCCAAAGCTGGTTTTGCAATTTATTTGAATTCTGTTTAGGCAATACACTTCTAGGTATGCAGGATATATGGTAATCTTAGATTTCATGGCCCAAAGTTGAGAAGCACAAGGGCTGATGTGGTTTAAAGAGTCCCCGCCTTCCCCCGATGAGGTCTGGTTTTATGTCCCGGTTGACACCATACGAGAGTTGAGTTCGTTGCTGTTGTTGTTTTTGTTTTCTTCGAGAGGTTTCCCTCAGGATACTTTGAATTTCCCCTGTCCTCCAAAACCCACACCTCAAATTCCACTTTGAACTACAATGTTTTTCCGTTTAGTTGAGGAGGGCCACGGGATTAATTCCCAGCCTTCATGCAAATTTCAGTCATTTATTCCCTCTCAAAATAAAGTTTGGCTTGTTTAATTCTTGTCCCTCAAACTTGGGTAAGGGCTGCGTGAATGTCATAGGTATGAAATCATTGGTGCTCACCAGGAGAATTGCTAAAACCGGACCTTTGTAAATCCACTGACTGCCGTTTATCCAGCATCTGTAATCACAAGAATAAAGCGAGCTAATCACCTTTAAAATGATGGTGCTCGCGATGATAACGATCATATCGTGTTTGAGTTTTAGTTGTCGATGATATTTATGACGACGCCGATGATGTTGGTGACAATGATGAAGATGATGATGATGATAATAACAATGATGATTGACAAAAATGAGATGGCCAAAAATAATTAATTACGATAATGGTATTGAACTGCAGCAACATTAAGGTTGTTAACGGAATGTCAATCTACCTGGTTCTTTCGATCTTCGCGGCAATTTTGAATGATCCGCATGTAATGTTTTTATAGAAATTTTTCCTCATGTCATAAGAAGAAGGACGAATAGCAGCCACCAAGCCAACGATTACTGCTGGTATTCCTAAATGTCAATAAAACCATTTTCTGTTAAATATACACTCAAGGTCTGTACAGTTAAACTCCTCAAATACACGAACAGCATTGTGTCTTCATAGAAGAAGGACATTTATTACAGAAGTAACGTTTTTATGAACTACGGTATTTTTGAAAAGAATTAAAGCTGTGTATGACAGAGGCTTTCCATTGTATAAAAAATATATATTTTTAAATATTTTTTCTGGGAACATTTTACAAATTACATCACTTAAAAATCTAGATTTGAATAACTGGTGAAACAATTAATTCCGCAATAAATTGCTTCCATTTATGAATTCCTTAGTTGAAATACTTTCAGTGGTATTTTGTAACCGACAGAACCGCATGGAGTCACATGTAGGCTATTATGCCACGTGATATAAAGTGCTGTAGCAAACACATAATGGCCTACTTCTTCCCAGTAATTTTGTTAATCTCTAAAGATTAACCTTGCTCTTTGAATAAAAAGGCTAAATATTGGAATTTTGTAAGATACAATTTTCAGGAATATCAAGTATGTTTTGTGACGATATTTATAAGTGATTACTTCTCTTAATCAAAATCGTTTGTTAAAAGGATCTCGTATTCAAGCAAACTGCACATGGCATATGTGGTCTGATCGTAAAAATATAAAGATACGAACCCCATCCCATCATCAGGTAAGACAGATACTGTTTTCTGACTGAGAAGACTTTGACCAGCTTAATGTAAAGATTGATTCCTTCCACCAGCATCCACGTAAACAGAGATGTGTGAAGATAGTGCTGAATCACCGTAACCAAGCAACAAAGGGCCTAAAATACAACACCTCCTTTTTCATAATTTTTTACCACGGTAATTAAAATATTATTTAGTTATTAAATACATATATAAATACTTGTATTCTGGGTAGAACGTATTCCGTAGAGCGCTCAATTCATTTAATTGAAGAGCATTGACTAAATAATCACAAGAGTTCAGGCCTCAGGAGTAATCATTGATCGTTTATTGCGACAGTGCTGTTTCGTATGGTCCGAAATTGTAGGACCACACTCATCAGGCAACTTCAACGATTGACCGTTAAAATTAAAAGCTGGCAGTAAATATAGGGATGCGTTAAGAGATAGTATCTAGGTAACAGATGGATTGTGTCTTAGTTACGTTACTCTAGAGTTCTGAAGTACATATCTGTTTCTGTGGGGGCATGAACTCGCTAGTTCGTTTCGCCTGTTTAGGCTACAAAGCTCTTTTTTACAAATGATGATAAACATTTCATAAAGACAAAGATTACATTTTTTGCTAATGTTGCTATAGGCTTTACATTTCTTTAAAACTTTCCATTTTATCTGGAAAGGTTTGTTAGAGTCTTGTAAAGTCCAAATATATTTTGATAGTTCCGTTTCATTTCTTCTGTTCGAGCGTCGAAAGAAGGACTGATGGTTTCTGTATATATATATATATATATATATATATTTTTTTTTTCACGTGAGAAGATTTGACCGAGTAATACACATTCATTCACTCGCAACTCAAAGGGATATGCATTACTTAATATTGATCAAAATCTCAATATTGAGACAATATTGCCTGCCCTGGCCTAGTAATGTAAAAAGAGCTTTTTCACTCACGTGGCCAGCAGTTACGCAAATCATCACGCCCTATATTGCGACAAGCGCGCCTACTCAAAAACGTCGTCCATGAAAAGTGGGGTACTTTCATAAGACAATAAGACAACGCAGAAACAATAGAAGTAGGTTGCCATTGTTTTAATTGTTGGAATGTCTTTGTCATTGCTTCAGAGAAGGAAATGTTTATGCAAAAAGAAGCATTTTTCTTCCTCGTGAGCTAGCATACCCCCCCACCTAATTCGGTAGTCTCGTGCGAATCGACTTGATGGAAAAACAGTTAAAGCTAAGCCAGAGTATTCTTCACGTCAAAACTCTTCTTCTCAAAAATCAGTCGATAAGATTGAATAAAAATGTTTAGCAACGTTTATTATTATCATAAGCGGTATTGTAGTTGTTTTCAAGAGACGGATTAGATCGCTGGTTAGGTTTGACGATAAAATATGTAGTTATAGCGTTGTTAAAGAAACTATCGCTACCAATTTTACCTTATACTTTGTTAAAATCAACATCTTTAATGTAGAACGTAAGTGAGAGTGCTTTTTCGTGGAATTTGGTCGTAAATTTATAATATTATCTACAATCCGCGACAAAATGTAAACAACATTAACGCATTTGTTGCGCTCCATATTTCATCGATCGATTCGAACATCATGAAATTTTTAAAATGTAAAAATTCGTTTTAAATAAGTGCTTTGAAACATTCACGACAAAATCAACAACAATCATCGAAGATTTTTTAATTTTAAAGCGTTTAAAAGCAAATGGTCACATGCTAATTCGGATTAAATTTAGACAGTTCTTAAATAGACTGAGTTATTGTTAGTCGCGTAAAGTAATTCTATTCATGCAAATGTTGCGGGTGTCTGAGCAGGAACAATAACCAGGAAAGGGATATACACAGGGGATTTCTTGATTGACACTCAATTTACGTCATTTTTCACTTATTTGCATTTTCATGATAGACGGTTTTGAATAGGCGCTTTTCTGTAATGGGGCTAGAAGTCACATGTGAAAAGACCTTCATTCCCAGAGGAATGGTAGGGACACCAACATGGCCGCCGTTTGATTGTTCATGGCAGACGTGACTTCGTGTGAAAAGGCTCTATATACAGCTATTAGTATTCATCAAATCAGTGGATAGCTATTTTCGCGCGTTCTGATTGGCTCCCATAACTCGGAATGTCCTCGGATCTTCGTTGTTTTGGGACGGGATTCAACAGTTTCGAAAGATGAAATTTTAGCGGTGAATGAACAGCTGCAGCAACAAATGCCAAGAAAGAGGCAAAATTTGGCTTTTCGGTGTTTACCGGTCGGTAGGAAAAATTTTCTGACTGAATTTACAACAAAATCATAAAAAAAGATCCCCGAAACACGGTCAATTGAAACGTAAACAAACTCTAATTAGGCGACGCCTATTAGTTACGAAAAGTTACTTCTTTATTTTTATCCAACAGATTTGATAAATACTAAATAAACCATGCCTCAAAGGGTCGGCTCATAGCGTTAGATATCTGAATGAACGAATGCATGAATGAATGAATTTGATTCGCTCCTGTGATTGAAGGGCTACTTTATGTCGAAGATTTCACCACTAACTGATTTTCGCGTACATGACCGTACATGGAATATATTTGCACTTGTAGTAGTATAGTCAACTGAAAAATTAAATTAATATGACAAAGAAGGTTATTACACATGTCGATTTCGGTTGAAGCGACGGGAAAATATTATACTTACAATTTGTGTTCCATATGCGGCTAGTAAGCTTCGAAGTGCGATCTGTAGTGACACTTTTGAAATGTAAGTTGCGTAACGAACTTCTAGGTTTTTAAAATAATTAGTCACCTGATCTATTTTTGCCGCGTTGCGCTAAGATAATTAAATATTCACAAAAAATTGACAAACGGCTTGAAAAATGCAAATCACTCCACCCCAGTGCGGAAATTAGGTCTAAATAATTAGTTCTAATTGAGCAACGACTATGATGGCTTAAGTGTTCAATGTTCAATAAAGAAGTGTCAGAAAATGGTGTTAGAGTCCATTTCTACTATCGACTAGCTTGCGCGATCCGCATTCAGTTCGTCTTTAGTGGCTATGAGACATAACTTGTGAATTGGTCTGTCATACTCTCCGTCTCTTGTCTTGATTCTCACTTTTCGGACAAGTCCGTCGTTTCCAGGATATGTGCCTACAATACGCGCCATTTTCCATTCACATCTTTTGTGTTTGGGGTCCAGCTCCAATACAACATCACCGATCTGGATGTTATCTCGCACGCCAAACCACTTGTTCCTTGGTAACAAGTTTGGGGCGAAATACTTCATCCAGCTCCTCCAGAAATCAGCAACTCTGTTTTGGGTGCTTCTGAGTAATTGTCGCGGATTGGTTCTTTCCTCTGGTTCTGGTTGTGTTGGTGGATTGTAGTGGCCTAGAAGTAGGTCGTTTGGAGAGATCGGTGGGGCCTCCCAGATATCGTCGGAACTGGGGTACAGCGGTCGTCCGTTGACCATGTAGGTGATTTCTGACAAAATTGTTCTCCATTGTTCCTCGGAGTAGGCTTGGTTCTTGCAAGTGGCGTTAAATGCTTGTCTGACTGACTTAATTAGGGTTTCAACAACTCCGTTTTGGTGACTCGCATGTGGTGTATTCCATTCCCATCTGAGCTCGCAGCTAAATTTATCAGAGAGGACACTCTTTACCCCAAGAATATCCTAGTTCTGCGTGATTTCCTTTAGGTAACCTTGGGCACCCATGAAATTTGTACCACGGTCTGTCCAGCAAACATTAGGGTGTCCGCGTAGGCAGGCAAACCGTCGAAAGGCCATTAAGAATGCGTCTGAAGTTTTATCGGTGACCAGCTCAAGATGAATCGCACGCGATGTCATGCAAGCGAAGATGATCAGTTGTGCCTCTTTCAGAGTTTTGCGGCTGAGCTTGATCTGTACTGGCCCAAACATGTCCATAGTAGTGTTAACTCGGGTGTGGTCTTGAGCGCTGGGCCACTTTTCTTCTGGCAACTCTAGGAAGGATGGTCCCTCTGACCACTTCATGAGATGATTAAGATGGATTCCTCTCGTTAGAGCATCTGCAGGGTTGTTGTTAGACTTGATGTAGCGTATTTGATCTGCCCCAATCGTCTCTTGAATTTCAGCCACTCTGGCAGATACGAAAGGCCTGAATTCCCGTGGTGGCGTTCTGATCCAGGACAAAACGGTTGATGAATCGATCCAGAAGAATCTTTCCCAGTCCTGGGCTTTTGCGAACTCCAATGCTTTTACACATGTAACGTACATGCGTGCAAGTGCTAAACAGCCCAACAGTTCTAATCTCGGGATGCTCTTCTTCTTCAGAGGTGCGACGAAAGCCTTTATCGTGACTGGAACACTACGATAGTCTCCGCTAGCAAGTTTCTACTGTAGGAAGATGACCGCACCATAAGCCTGCTCACCACCATCGGAGAATCCGTGAATTTGAGCCACGCCCACTGCGTTGTTTGGCTTTAGCTTGCGGTCAAACTGAAATGACAGGAGATCATTTATGGACTGGACATTCTCTAACCATGTTTGCTGAATACTCTCGGGAAGGATGTCGTCCCAGCTGTAACCTGAACTCCATAATCCTTGCAAGTCAATTCTGAACTTGATTGCGACGGGCAGCACAAGACCGATGGGGTCCCATAACTGACCAACAAGACCTAAACAGCGCCTCTTTGTCAGGACATTCAGTTCTCCGAGGACATTCTTTTTGAAGGTGAACGTGTCTAGCTGTTTATCCCAGCTTAGGCCGAGAAGATCCGAAAACCGTTCACCGTTGGATTGGTCGATTTCTGCCTCATTGGAATGCCAAGTTTTGATCTGGAAGTTGCCTTTCGCGAGGACAGCGTCGATGTGGCTGATAATCTGCTTTGCATTGGTTACTGTTTCTCTGTAGCCACCGATGTCATCCACGTACACATGCTGACGGAGTTCTTCTGCGGTTTCCGGGAATTCTGCGTTCGAAAGCTTGGCTAGCGTGTTGATAGCGTTAGTTGCGATGTCAGGGGCCGGTTTATCACCAAAGTTCAGTCTTAGGCACTGGTAAACAGTTGGTTTGTCACATGTGTTGCTCCTCCACAGAAACCTGTGGTA